ATATGTAATAAAGGGCCATAGAAAGATAGACTAAAAAATAATTGGAAACTAAATAATCTAATCCTAAAAAATGATTGGGTCAAACAACAAATCATAGAAACAATCAATAATTTCATTCAAGAGAATGACAATAATGAGACAACATACCAAAACTTATGGGATGCAGCGAAAGCAGTTCTTAGGGGAAGTTTTATATCTCTAAATGCTTACATAAATAAAATAGAAAAAGAGGAGATTAATGAATTGGGCATACAACTAAAAAAACTAGAAAAAGAACAAATTAAAAATCCTCAACTAAACACCAAATTAGAAATATTGAAAACCAAAGGAAAAATTAATAAAATTGAAATTAAGAAAACTATTGAACTAATAAATAAAACTAAGAGCTGGTTTTATGAAAAAAACAATAAAATAGATAAACCTTTGGTTAATTTAATTAAAAAAAAGAAAGAAGAAAACCAAATTACTAGTATCAAGAATGAAAAGGGTGAAGCTACCACCAAGGAAGAGGAAATTAAAACAATAATTAGGAATTATTTTGCCCAACTATATGCCAACAAATTTGACAATCTTAGTGAAATGGATACATATTTACAAAAATATAAATTGCCCAGATTAACAGAAGAGGAAGTAAAATACTTAAATAACCCCATCTCAGAAAAAGAAATTGAACAAGCCATTGATGAACTCCCTAGGAAAAAATCTCCAGGGCCAGATGGATTTACATGTGAATTCTATCAAACATTTAAAGAACAATTAATTCCAATACTATATAGACTATTTGGGAAAATAGGTGAAGAAGGAGTCTTACCAAATTCTTTTTATGATACAAATATGGTGTTGATACCTAAACCAGGAAGAGTCAAAATAGAGAAAGAAAATTATAGACCAATTTCTCTAATGAATATAGATGCAAAAATTTTAAACAAAATACTAGCAAATAGATTACAGCAACTTATCACAAGAATAATACACTATGACCAGGTAGGATTTATACCAGGAATGCAGGGTTGGTTCAATATTAGGAAAACTATCAGCATAATTGAGCATATCAACACCAAAACCAACAGAAACCACATGATCATCTCAATAGATGCAGAAAAAGCTTTTGATAAAATACAACACCCATTCCTATTAAAAACACTAGAAAGCATAGGTATAAATGGAGTCTTCCTTAAAATAATAAATAGCATCTATCTAAAACCTTCAGCAAGCATTATATGTAATGGGGACAGGCTAGAAGCATTTCCAATAAGATCAGGGGTGAAACAAGGATGTCCATTATCACCACTGTTATTCAATATTGTACTGGAAACGTTAGCTTTAGCAATAAGAGAAGAAAAAGAAATTGAAGGCATTAGAATAGGCAAAGAAGAAACAAAGCTATCACTCTTTGCAGATGACATGATGATATACTTAGAGAATCCTAGAGAATCAAGTAAAAAACTACTTGAAATAATAAACAACTTTAGCAAAGTTGCAGGCTATAAAATAAACCCACATAAATCATCAGCATTTCTATATATTACCAACAAAGCCCAACAGCAAGAGATAGAAAGAGAAATCCCATTTAAACTTACTGTAGACATTATAAAATATTTAGGAGTCTACCTCCCGAAACAAACCCAGGAACTCTATGAACACAATTACAAAACACTTTTCACACAAATAAAATCAGATCTAAATAATTGGAAAAACATCAGTTGCTCATGGGTAGGCTGAGCTAATATAATAAAAATGACAATCCTACCTAAGCTAATTTACTTATTCAGTGCCATACCAATCAAACTACCAAAAAATTATTTTATAGAGTTAGAAAAAATAATAACAAGATTCATTTGGAAAAACAAAAGGTCCAGAATATCAAAGGAACTAATGAAAAGAAATGCAGGGGAAGGTGGCCTAGCAATTCCAGATCTTAAATTGTATTATAAAGCAGCAATCATCAAAACTGCTTGGTACTGGCTAAGAAATAGGGGTGGATCAGTGGAATAGGTTAAATATGCAAGACACAGTAGTCAATGACTATAGTAATCTATTATTTGATAAACCCAAAGACCCCAGCTTCTGGGATAAGAACCCACTCTTTGAAAAAAACTGCTGGGAAAACTGGAAAAGAGTATGGCAGAAACTAGGCATAGACCCAAATCTCACACCATATACCAAAATAAAGTCAAAATGGGTTCATGACTTAGATATAAAGGCTGATACCATAAGTAAACTGGGAGAACAAGGAATAGTTTACCTATCAGATCTATGGAGAACAGAAGAATTCATGACCAAACAGGAGATAGAGAACATTATGAAAAGCAAAATGGATAATTTTGATTACATTAAATTGAAAAGTTTTTGCACAAACAAAGCCAATGCAACTAAGATTAGAAGGAAGGTAGAAAATTGGGAAAGAATTTTTACAACCAGTCTTCTGATAAAGGCCTCATTTCTAAAATATATAGAGAATTAAGACAAATTTATAAGAACACAAGCCATTCCCCAATTGATAAATGGTCAAAGGATATGAACAGACAGTTCTCAGATGAAGAAATTAAAGCCATCTGTAGTCATATGAAAAAATGCTCTAAATCATTATTGATTAGAGAAATGCAAATCAAAACAACTCTGAGGTACCACATCACACCTATCAGATTGGCCAACATGACAAAACAGGAAAATGATAAATGTTGGAGAAGATGTGGGAAAATTAGAACATAATGCACTGTTGGTGGAGTTGTGAAATGATCCAACTATTTTGGAGAACAATTTGGAACTATGCCCAAAGGGCTATAAAAATGTGCATACCCTTTGACCCAGCAATAGCCCTAGAAGGGCTATATCCCAAAGAGATCATACAAATGGGAAAAGGACCCACATGCACAAAAATATTCATAGCATCTCTTTTTGTGGTGGCAAAGAATGGGAAATTGAGAGGATGCCCATCAATTGGGGAATGGCTGAGCAAGTTGTGGTATATGAATGTAATGGAATACTATTGAACTATAAGAAATGATGAACAGGCTGACTTCAGAAAAACCTGGAAAGACTTATATGGTCTGATGCTGAGTGAAGTGAGCAGAATCAAGAGAATGTTGTACACAATAACAGTCACAGTGTGTGATGACTAAGATTGTTAAACTGAGCCCTTCTCAGCATTACGAGGATTTAAGACATCCCCAGAGGCCTCGGGATGGAAAATGCTGTCCACGTCCAAAGAAAGAACTATGGAAGTTGAATCCCTATCATTCTTTTTCTCTTCTGTTGAGTTTTATTTCCTCTTTCGAATGGTTGCTCCTATTGGTTTTAATTTTTACTTACAACTTCACTAATGCGAAACTATGTTTAACAGGAATATAAACGTATAGCCTATATGAGATTGTGCGCCATCTTGGGAAGGGGGGTGGGGAGGAAGGGGGAGAAAAATTTTAAACTCAAAAGCATGTGGAAGTGATTGTTGATAAATCAAAATTAAAAAAAAAAAGGAAATGTTATCCACATCCAGAGAAAGAACTGATGGAGTCTGAATGCTTATCAAAGCAAACTATTTTCACTTTTTTTTTCCATGGATTTTTCCCCTTTTGATCTGTTTCTTCTTTTATAACATTACTAATACTGAATTATGTTTTACATGATTCAAGATATATAACCTATATCAAATTGCTTACCATTTTAGGGAGGAGGGAAAAGAGGAGGGAGGGAGAAAATCAGGAATTCAAAAAAAATTTTTCAATGAATGTTAAAATTGTCTTTACATGTAATTGAAAAAATAGAATACTGTGAAAGAAAGAAAGAAAAAGGAAGGAAGCCAGAAAACTTAACTACTTGTATTTGAATTGTCTTAGGAAGTTCCCGAAGATTACCTGGCAACATAAGGTACTGGACACTGAGGTGCTCCTAGAGCTGAACTGTCAAGCACGGTATGGGAATCCATAAAGTTATATCAAAGCAATTTGGGGGATAAAAATGAATAATCCTTCCCATTTCTACCCAATCTGATCCATTCTTCATATTATATCTAGAATACCCTTTCTGTAATCAGATGGTCAGTTCTTGGCCTAAATTAAGTTTGAAATGACATTAAGGAGCTGGATACAGCCTCAGAGAATAGAAGCACATGAAGGCTATGCATAGTTTAGTTTGTGTCTTCAAGAAAAAGCAAAATGTAAAAAAAAAGACAAAAAAGGAAAAAAAAAAGAAAAAGACCCTAAAACAACAGTAGAACTCGAAGGAGGTAGGATGGGAATGCCCTGGGAACATTTACTAAAGAAGAAATAAATTCTTTAAGACATCATCAGGGGGCAGCTAGATGGCTCAGTGGATAGAGCCCCACCCTTGGAGTCAGGAGGACCTGAGTTCAAAACCAGCCTCAGACACTCACTTAGCTGTGTGACTCTGGGCAAGTCACTCAACCCCAATTGCCTTACCAAAAAAAAAAAAAAAAAGACATCATCAGAACAAAGGATATTAAAACGGGATAGATCACGATTTGGGATAAGGGTATCTCCTAAGGTCTGCTCCAGAATCCATAAACATTATTAAACTGATTCTCTACCGATCACTGCATCTAAATCAGAAAGTATACCTTGTCAGATATCTCATCCCATGTAGCCCAGATTCATTAACTGGCTTTGAAAATTAAGATCTCCCTCACTATTTCTACACTTGCAGATAGAAGGCCTTTACTCAGAAAGGGGAAGAATCCACTTGGCAGGCATGATAGCGTTGCTTCTGCATCTATTACAAATAAAGTGATGCCTTGAGGACACAGTATTAAGAATTACATCCAGATGCTATAGAGGTATTTGGTACAAGAGGAAAGTCTGAGATTCTGCCATGCTGTGATAGGGAGGCATACTACCATACTTACTTCTGATGAGATCTGGGAGAATCCAACCCATTGTGACCCACTCCTACAACTCATTTGTTTGTTTGCTTTGTTTTGCAACATGACCTCAGAATGACCAGGCACGTATGTGTTTTACATCACTAACGTCTGAGGTGGTCATTTTGTATTTCTTCATCCTGCAAATACAAACAGCATATATAACCTCTTTTTCTCAGGTTAGTAAAAAACATTGTGAAAGAAAAGTGGCATCCCAGTCTCCCAGCTACAATCATCATTGTTGAGTATCTAGTCAACAGTCTATCTGGTAAGAATTTCTTTCTCTCTACATCTTTTATCTAAGCTTCCTGATGAATGAAGCTCCTTCTCCAAACCCCACTGCCCTCTCAGACCTTTCCCTGTAACTATTTTTGCTTCTTGACCCCTTTTGAAGACCACTACCTCTGAGACAGCTTACATATCCGGGTTTCTTTTTCAGGAATGCTCACTTCATCAGAGGGCAGCTAAGTGGCACAATGGATAGAGCACTGGGCCAGGAGTTGGAAAGACTCAACTTCCTGAGTTCAAATCTGGTCTCAGACACTTACCAGCTTGTGACCCTGGGCAAGTCACTTAATCCTGTTTACCTTAATTTCCTCATTTATAAAATGAGAAGGAAATGGCAAACCACTCCAGCACTTTTGCCAAAACAAACAAACAAACAAACTCAAATGGGATCACAAAGAGTGGAACACGACTGAAAAATGACTGAACAACACTTCCTACTATATGCTAAATTTTGTGCAAAACTTCACCCTGTCTTCTCTTCTCATCCCATCCCTCACAACATCAATCATCCCTTCATCTCAAACATACACACATCCCCCACGTATATATGTGCGTGTGTGTGTGTGTGTGTGTGTGTGTGCGTGCGTGCACACTGATTTTTGTACTGCCTTTTTCCTCAAATAAATCTTCCTTTATCCTCTTGTCATCTTTTCTCTTTCCTTAGGAAACTCTTGCTGCCAACCCATGTTCTCTTCTGCCTGGGCCAACCTTCATCCTGCACCAAGATTACCATAAGTTCTCTTATCACCTGAGATGTAGTGAAAAAATCACTAAATTGAGTCCGAAAACCTGAATTCAAGTCATAATTCTAAACCTTATTACCTGTGTGAACTTGGTCAAGTCATATCCCCTCTTCAGGCCCTAATCACCTCCTCTCTAAGATGAAAGAATTGAACTAAATGACCCCAAGGCCCTTTCTACTTCCATATCTTATTATTCTTTTTCATTTTTATTCTCTTCATTTCAGATGTTCTCATCTTTATTTTTATTTTTAAGCTATATGTGTATAATCATATCAAACATATTTCCACATTAGTCATGTAGTGAATGCCCTCATCTTTGAGTCTGAAGGATTTTTTTTCTTTTGGGGGAGGAAAGGGGGACCTATGATTTCATTAGTAACTAATCTGTAGATTACAGACTTATAATTCCTCTGGTACAACATTACCATCTTTCCTCTGAGTATATATAAAAACATCTTCTATGTATAATTTTTTGCATTTTGTATGACCTATTAGAATGTGAGCCCCTTGACAGCAGGGAACTATATTAAAAATAATATTGGATTTTCCCCCAATTACATGTAAAATAATTTTTAATATTCTTTTTAAAAAAGTTTTTGAGTTACCAATTCTGTCCCTCATTCCCTCCCCTCTCTTCTCCCTGAGATGAAAAGCATGTGCAATCATGGAAAACATATTTCTATATTAGTCATTTTATGAAAAAAATTCAAACAAAGAAAAGAAAGGAAGAAAGGAAAAAGGAAAGAAGGAAGGAAGGAAGAAAAGGAAGGAAGGAAGGAAGAAAGGAAGGAAGGAAGGAAGGAAGGAAGGAAGGAAGGAAGGAAGGAAGGAAGGAAGGAAGGAAGGAAGGAAGGAAGGAAGGAAAGAAGAAAGGAATGAAGCGAAAAATAGTATGCTTTGGTCTGTATTCAGACACCATTTAGACACCTTGTTCTTTCTCCAGAGGAAGATAGCATTTTTGGTCATGAGTTCTTTGGGATTATTCTTGAATCACTCTATTGCTGAGAATAGCTAAGTTGTTCACAGTTATTCATTATACAATATTACTGCTACTGTGTACAATGTTCTCCTGGTTCTGCTCACTTCATGGTGCATCATTTCACATGAGTTTTCTCAGGTTTTTCTGAAATCATTCTCCTCATCATTTCTTACAGTACAACAGTAATTGTATTACAATCATATACTACAACTTGGTCAGCCATTCCCCAATTAATGGGCATCCCCTCAATTTCCAATTCTTTGCTATCACAGAAAGAGCTGCTATAAATATTTTTATACATGTGGGTCCTTTTACCTTTTTACAATCTATTTGGTATACAGACCTAGCAATGGTATTGCTGGATCAAAGGGTATGCACAGTTTTATAGCCCTTTGGGCATAGTTCCAAATTGCTCTCCAGAATAGTTAGATCAATTCACAACTCCACCAACAGTACATTAGTGTCCCAGTTTTCCCACATTCCCTCCAACAGCTTTCATTTTCCTTTTCTGTCATAGTAGCCAGTCTGATAGGTATGAGGTGGTACTTCAGAGTTGTTTTCACTTGCATTTCTCTAATCAATAGTGATTTAGAGCATTTTTTCTTTTTCTTTTTTTAAAAATTTTTTATTAATTTATTTTGATTTGTCAACAATCACTTCCATATGCTTTTGAGTTTAAAATTTTTCTCCCCCTTACCCCACCCCAAGTTGGCGCACAATCTGATATAGGCTATACATATACATTCCTATTAAATATATTTTCACATTAGTGATGTTGTAAGTAAAAATTAGAACCAGTAGGAAGAACCACCAGAAAGAGGAAACAAAACTCAACAGAAGGGGAAAACAAATGGCAATTCAAATACCATAGTTCTTTCTTTGGATGTGGTTAGCATTTTCCATCACGAGGCCTTTGGAGATGTCTTAGATCTTTGTATTGATGGGAAGGGTTAAGTTCATCAATATCAGTCATCACACAATGTGGCTATTATTGTGTACAACATTCTCTTGGTTCTGTAGAGCATTTTTTTCAAATAACTATAGATAACTTTGGGTTTTTTTTGCCTGAAAACTGCCTGTTCATATCCTTCGACTATTTATGAATTGGGGAATGATTTGCATTCTTATAAATTTGACTCAGTTCTCTATATGAGAAAAGAGGCCTTTATCACAGATATCTGTAAAAATTTTCTCCAGTTTTCTGCTTTCCTTCTAATCTTGGCTGCATTGGGTTTCTTTCCATTTTACATTTCATAATGCTTTCTATATCTTGTTTGGTCCTAAATTCTTCAAGGACTATATTTTTGCTTTTCTTTGTAGCCCTATCACTTAGCACATAGTGAGCTCTTAATAAATACATGTTGACTAATTGACCTTCCTTACAGCCAAGCAACTGGTATGTGTATCAGAGGCAAGGCTTAAACCCAGTTCTTCCTGACTCCAAGGCTGGTTGGATAAAAAAATCTATCTACAATGCCTTGCGTCCTCCTGATGTGCAAGATATAGTAAACTAAAAGCCAAAGAGCAAGGATGAATATAAACTGGGAAAGGATTAGCTAAGCACAAGGGTAATTCAAAGAGGCCCAGGAACGTAATGGAGCACATACTGAGTATGAGCCACTAACTAGTCAAAGACCTGTGAATTCTAGGTGAGGAAATTCTACCAAATCAGATCACCACAGACTTTGCAATTTATGACCTTAGCGATTTGCCTTGAGGGAATTGAAGAGAGGAGGAGGAAGGGTACAAGCATTTTTTAAGCACCTACTATGTTCCAGACATTGTGCTAAGTGATTTACAGTATATTATTTCAATGGATCCTCATAACAACCCTGTTGAAAGATTGAGAGATTAAGTAACAACAGCTAGCATTTTGTTAGTGTTTAAGGTTTACAAAGCACTTGACAAACATCTTGTTTTATCCTCACAACAGCCCTGGGAGGTAGGTGCTATTCATGCTTCCATTTTACAGATGAGGAAACTGAGCTAGACAGAAGCTAAGTAACTTGCCCAGGGTCAACTGGATTAGGTCTCTGGGGCTGGATTTGAACTCATGTTTCTTTCTTGTTTTGTTTTTGTTTTTGTTTTCTAATCCCAGGTCCAACACTGTTACTACCTCCACCTAGCTATCGAAGATCACATAGCAAGAATGTTTCAGAGAAAGCATGTGAACCCAGATTTTCCAGACACTAAGGCCAGATCTTTATATACTACTCAATGCTGTATCTCTGGTAAAAACTGTCCTTTTTAAAAGACAAAAATATAGACCATTACACATATGATCATGATACAAGCATGACATATAAGACTATAAATCTAACCCTTCTATAGCAGTAAATTCTTATGGACTATATCCAGTTTGGATCTGCATATTTTAAAGAAATTTAGCTACTTGAGAGTAGTGCCCTATATCTTACCCAATTTTGCTTCTCACCTGGTGCCTAATATAGTGTCCTATGTATAATACATACTTAATAAATGTTAGTTGTAAAAATTAAAAAGTTCTACAGAGGAGACAAAAATCAAGAAAAATTATTAGATGATGGGAAATAAAAGCTCTGTGAGAAAAACCTAATAGATAACCTATTGAAGCATATGGAAACCCACAGTCTCCTGTGAAAACAGAGCAAACATATTAAATTACCCACAGTGATCCATTATGCATTGGAATGGTGGACCACAGCTAAATGGGGAAAGCATATGGCTACTTAGAGTCCAAACAGCATGCAGTGAAACAAAGAACAATGGGTTTATCTTGAAAAGAGTCTAGTCATTGCAGAAAGAATAATGGACAATAGACAGATCACCCAACAAACAGAAGGAATCCCACAAGATAAATAAATAGCTGAACAAGAAGCCAAGAGCTTGGTGGAGGAAACCAGTTAGGTCTAGTTGTTCAGACAGAAGCACATTTATGCACAAGATCATCAACACTGTTATCTAGTAGATTTGCTCTCTCATTGTATCAAGCAGCAATCATACACATGAATAAAGAACATTGTTGTTCTCCATATCCATTGAGGATCACACAAAAGACCATAAGCTTAGGTCCCATCAAAACAGAGTTTTGTTTGACACAAAAAATGACTTCTTGAGCGTACACATGAACAAACATGAGACCAGGCCACCAAGAGAGATTCTGATATTTCTGGCTCTGGTGCTATTTTAGCCCCATATGTCATCCACATTCACCTGGCCAGAGGCAAGGAGGGAGACAGATGACTTTTTGAAGAGGTCCTTTAATGACTCCAATTCTGTTATTCCTTCAAGCAACTTCAGAAAAGTTTCAGGATGCCTTGATACATCTGTGATTTTGTTTAAACAAAGCATGTTATGAAAGATCTGCTCATTTGTTAGGAGAAATAGTGAAATCTTCTCATTTTAATTTGATAAGAGAATAAAGAGCTCAAGGTACAGAACTTTTATTTTATTTAAACCTTTATTATGCCTTTCCTTCAAAGTAAAGACAACTTCACATCTTATTTTTATGTGACAAATAGTAATTGTGCTTTGCAGTATGCCACATGTGACTTCTTATTTATGGTTTGGCTTAGTGTCCACATGACACTAAGAGAAAGGAGAAAGGAGGTCCGAGAAAGGCTCTCCTTGTTGGCGTCCCTCTTATTAAAAAGCAGGGTGTCTTTTTGCTGGATCAGGCTGCAGGTCACCTTTGATCAGTTCTGCAGTAAGGCAGGCACAAAAACCAGGGAGCAAAATTAAGACCACAGTTGGTCAATAAGCCAAGGTCAGGAAAACCAAACACTAGAATCCTCAGAACAGGTAAAAATAATCACTTAAACTTAAGGCCTACAACCACATAGAGATCAAGGTGTTGATCATTAGGAAGGAGGAGAATGCCTGAGGGTCTGAAAAATCTGGTTGCAACTTGTAGTATCTCTTGCATTTTGACACAAATTTAGGTTAATCCCTTGTGACCAGCCCAAGGATGCCTACAAAGAGCATGTATTGCATGTGTATCTTCAAGTATAAATAATTTGAAAGACTGGAATGTGTATTATGAGATAAGACAAAAGAAAGTCTGTTACCCACCCCTACTTCCAACAAATTGCAGTAATAACATCAGTATTTTCTTATCTTTAATCTATGTTTCAGGAACAGGAGATTTCCCCATTAAATCCCTCACTTCCTCAAGTAAATGGTATCAGAAGGAATGAGCAAACCAAGTACTTCATGGGTAAGCAAGATAATTTCCCTATTAAGGAAGTTTTATTCTAAAAGACAAATAAAACCTACACTTTAGTTCTATGCTAAACAGAGGGAAGGGAGGAGAAGATTAAGGATAAGATGAGAACAAGTAAATGAAAATAAATGTGTTGAAGGAATGGGTAATCCATTATATTTTAACTACCATTTTCTTTTAATTTCCTACTTAATAAAAGTCAAAAGAAATCCTGGAAAACTCTCTCTCTCTCTCTCTCTCTCTCTCTCTCTCTCTCTCTCTCTCTCTCTCTCTCTCACACACACACACACACACACACACACACACACACACACACTGTACGCAGACTTTAGGACTAGAGATGTACAAATGCTCCTGTTTAAAAAATAAACAATAAACAGTGGGAAGGGGAATTTTTCATACCAAAGGCAAATAAGCTCAAATTTTATTCCTGTGAAGAATCCCAGAGTGCATTTTGAAGGGATGGTTATGAACATTGTGAAATGGCGATTCATACATATCAGCCTAAATTTATTAAGACCAAATCATGACAAACTGGACTTCAGCAAGGTATTTGGCAAAAAAAAAAAAAATCATGATGTTATTGTGGACAAGATAGAGAGAAATGTGGACTAGATGTTAATATAATTAGGTATATAAGAGGCAATTATCCTATGGGAGAATGCTAAACAAATTGTGGGATGTGAATGAAATGGCACAATATTGTGCAACAAGAATTAATGAAGTAGACCATTTTAGAAGAAACTTGGAAGACATTTATGAACTGATGCACAGCAAAGTGAACAGAACTCAAAGACCATTTATATAATGATAACATTATAGAAAAAACAAACTTTGAAAGACTTTAGAACTATAAAGAATGCAATGATAAACCACGAGTCAAAAAAATGAAGATAAAACATCCCTCTTCACCTCCTGACTAAGAGGTGATGAATTTAAAATGCAGGGGATGATACTCATTTTCAGATATAGCTATTATGGGAATTTGATTTGCCATACTATGCAAATATATATTTTACAGGACTTTTAAAAATTTTGTTTTATGGGGAAGGGGGCTGGGAGGGACAAATTAATTTCAAAATATTACTTAAAAACATTTTAAAAAAGTGTTAAAGTAGTATTCAAACCCAAGTTTCTCCTGACTGACTCCAAATCTAAGGAAGGCTTGGTCCATTACACACCATGCTGCTTTTCAGTGTGATTTGTATCTAGAGTAGCAAACATACTACCCTATTCACAATAAATGATAATAACAATAATAATAACTCTATAGTTTACAAAGCACTTGATAATTCTATGAAGTAAGTAGTGAAAGAATTTATGGGATCATAGTACCTCAGAGTTGGAAAAGACCACCCTAACTAGAACAGAAAAGTTCTATGACCCTGCCAACCAGTTGTCACCTCTACTTGAATATCTTTGCAAACTTCATTATCTTAGGGGACAGCTTATTTAACTTCTGGAGACATTGAATTGTTAGGAAGTTTTTTCCCTGAGTCTAAGTTTGAAGGTGTCACCTTGTAAGTTGTACCCATTGGTCATTGTTCTACTCCCTTGGGCCAAACAAAACTAATCTCCCATGGCAAACCTTTACATCTGGGAGGCCAATTTCTTCCATGCTCTCCTCATTTGTTTGTGATGAGACTTTTTTAAACCCATGTCATGTATCCATTTGAAGCTAATCTTAGTATGTGTTGTGAGATGTTAATCTAAACCTAACTTAAACTCATAGGATCTGGATAAAAATCATAGCTCTGATACTATTTGTGTGACCTTAGGCAAATTACCTTATCTCTAGATCTCATTTGCAAAGGGTTCAGACCAGATGACCTCTAAAGTCTCTTCCAGCTCCAAATCTATGATCTTATGATTTAAATTTAGTTGCGTTATTAGCCATTATCATTGAACTGGAGAAATCTGGAAGGAAGTTAATTTGAAAAAGATACTAATCTTGTTTTCAGACATTGAACCTTGAGGTATTCAAATAGAAATTTCCATCAAGCCACTAGAAGTAAAATATTGGAACTAAGAAAAGAGGTCAGAGCTGGAGGTGAAGGTTTGGGTGTCATCTGTGTAGAGGAGATAGCTAAAACTGAGAGTGCATGAGTTCTTTGAGAGAAAAGATGTAGGAAGAGAAAATTAAATCAATAATTGAATACTGGAAGATATCCACATTTAGCAGCAGGAAGGGGGAGTCCACAAGAGATGTAGAAAAGGAACTATCAGAGAGGTAGGGCTATGATAGTGTAGAATTATAGGATCTAAGAAGTGGTAGAAAGGGATCTTGGGCATCATAGAGTCCAACTTCCCGCTCATTGCCAGAATGCAATCTATAATATCTTTGGGGATAGAGACTCAGAAACTAAGGTGGTAAAATTTCAAAGAATGACCAGAGGTGGCATGGTACAAGAAAAGGGAAAAAACAAAAATAGAACTCTGACTCTGGAGGTCAAATCCTAATTTTGATATTTATGCTTTTGGATTATTCACTTAGCTTCTCTAAGCCTCAGTTTCCATACCTGTAAAATGAAGGTGATGAACTAGATGGCCTCTGAGGTACCTTCATGTACTAGTTTAGGGGCTTTAATCCAACATCAGCAGACTCTGATTTTAAGGGAATCCATGAATTCGAATGGAAAAAAATTACATCTTTATTTACACTAACCTGTAACTGAAATGTTGCATTTCCTTTGATTATGAATGTTAAAAAAATAAATAAATAAAACATAATTCTGAGAAGGGGTACATAGCCTTCACAAGACTGTCAAAAGCATTCATGATATAAAAAGAAAGAAAGAAAGAAAGAAAGAAAGAAAGAAAGAAAGAAAGAAAGAAAGAAAGGAAGGAAGGAAGGAAGGAAGGAAGGAAGGAAGGAAGGAAGGAAGGAAGGAAGGAAGGAAGGAAGGAAGGAAGGAAGGAAGGAAGAGAGAAAGAGAGAAAGAAAGAAAGAAAGAAAGAAAGAAAGAAAGAAAGAAAGAAAGAAAGAGAAAGAAAGAAGGAAGGAAGGAAGGAAGGAAGGAAGGAAGGAAGGAAGGAAGGAAGGAAGGAAGGAAGGAAGGAAGGAGGGAAGGAAGGAAGGAAGGAAGAAAAAAGAAAAAAAAAGGCTATGATTTTGAGAGGAAACTAGTGTAAGATGGAGGACCAGGAAGATGTTGGACCATGAAATTGTGCTTCTTTACTCCCGCCTGGTGGCTGCCTGTTCAAAATGCATCAGGGGTGGAAGGGATGTGTTACAGTCAATACCTAAATGTTGCAATTCAGCCTTCTACATGTTGAAACTATTAAACAATAACAACAGTAACAAAATTGAAGATGACAGATTGGTTAAAGGAAATATAGGGGGATATTAAACACATAATGAAGGAAGATAGGAAATGTGGATATCAATGAGCATATTTTTTCTTGGCTTCTTTTTGGTTTTAGTTTTTTGAGAGAGTGATTGGCATGACAGAAAGTTTTTGAGAGGATCGAGAGTGGATAGAGTGATCTGTAAATATAGGTCATCATTATATGACTATTAATGAAAGGGATTGTAGCTTCTATTAAGAAAAGCTTCGAATTTTGAGTCAGAGAACTAAGGTTCAAACCTCAGTTTTGTTCCTAACTACCTCTGTGACTTTGGGCAAGTCACTTTATCTTTACGGGACCCCTGTTTTCTCATTTGTAAAAAACAAAACCAAAAACAAACAAACAAACAAACAAAAAACAACCATACAGGTTGGTCTAGATATTCTGTAAACTATAGAATTCACCTTTGTCATCTTGCCTCACCTCAGTCATACCAAAGGGCTCGGAGTTTATCTATCTCGATATGACAAAGACACAAAGGTTGATTAAATAGCTTCTTGGGAGCTCAGCCATCACCAACATGCTTCTTGTCTAAATTCAGTCCTCTTGGACTATCCCCCATTCCAATAATGCTTTCCTTCCTCACCTCTAGCTCCTGGCTTCCCTGGCCTCCTTCCAGATTCAGCTCAAATCTGACCTTCTGTAAAAGACCTCTCCCAGAGCCCCTCACTACTTTTACCTTTTCCCTGAGACTACCTGTCATTCATACTGCATAGCTATGGTTTGTACAATGTTTTGTATTTTCTCTATGTTCAGTCATTTCAGTTGTGTCTCACTCTGTGACCCATTTGGGGTTTTCTTGGCAAAGATAGCTTGCCATTTCCTTCTCCAGCTCATTTGACAGATGACGAAACTGAGGCAAACAGGGCTCAGAGACTGGCCCAGATTCACACAGCTAATAAGTATCTGAGGTCAGATTTGAACTCAGGGAGATGAGTCTCCCTGACTCCAGGCCTGGCACTCTATCCATTGCATCACCTAGCTGCCTGTTTTGCATTTTCTCTCCTCTATTAGAATGTGAGCTTCTTGAGGGCAAGGACTTAATTTTTGCCTTTCTGTTTATCCCTAGTTCTTTTCAGTGTCTGGCACATAGTAAGAACTTTAAAAATGCTAATTGGCTAACTGAATTATACCTCTAGAATGGTATAGTTTGATTTATTATTTCTACATTTTCAAGGTGTCCACCCCCCCAAGATGCAGCACCCAGAAATGGACAGTTGCTGTTCCTATTTCTTTTCTTTTCTTTTTTTGGGGAGAGGGAGGAGGGCAGGGTGTCTAGACCTCTGATGTCATTGGAATAAGGTAATTTCCTAGTGAGGAAATTCCTTCTACTAATACAGATCAGCAACTATTCTATAGCTTGATGTCCTAGAAGATTGCTGGGTACACAGAGGGATTAAGTGATCTGTTCACAGTCATGTCATCATTATGAATCAGAGACAAACCATGAACCCAGCCCTTCATGACTCTTTGCAGGACTCCCAAGTCCCTACAGTAGCTATCCTTAAGAACTATGACTATAATCTACGCCTTGCACCTAGTAGGTATTTAATAAATACTTGTGGATTTGAACTGAATACAACTGTACCAGCTATTTATAAAATAATATTTAGATTGTGGATATGAAGATGGGAAGGGGAGGTTCTTGAGTTCTTGAGTTCTGATAGAGGAGATAACCCTCATTAATCAAAATACATGAAGAATTCTTTAATTCAGAAGATATCCATCCTATTACTCAAAGTCAACACACAAGAAATTTCATAATGTTTCTATCACTCTGTGTGGTTTGATGGTGGAGAGAAGGCTCATTTTGGCCTCAAGCTCTGCCTCTGACACAAACTGGTCAATATGGCAAGTCATTTAACTTTTCAGACAAATTCAGGTCCCAGGCAAAACTCCTATCTTCACTGAAGAAGTCCAAACTGGGGGGGAAGGAGGAAGTTTAGTAAATGACAAACTGGTGAAAATCAAGAACCAATTAAAACAATTTCTGAAGTTCCAAAACATGTATGGGAGATCTCTAATTGAGACTGAGGAGCCCTCAGCTCTAACCCCAAGTCTTCCACATGTTGTATGACGCTAAGCAAATAACTTTTTCTGAATCTCAGTTTCCCCATCTGCAAATCAAGGAAACTAAACCAGCTGAACTCAAAGGATCTCTTCCAGTTCTAGAATAATTCTGAGATTATTAGTTAAACCAATACAGTAATAATGAATTTGCATCAAGCTCAAAGAAACTATCAGCCTTTGCCCACTGATAGAATTTTTTTAAAAAAAACTTTAAGGGGGTAGGGGAAAGGAGCACGACATGAGAGAGATAGTCAAGATTTGATTCGATTTTATCAATGTAGGAAACTCCTGGTGAGAAAACTCCCTCTATAAAGGAAGATAAGAAATTGGTAAGTAACCTAAAGAGGTAGAGACTAACATCTGGGGAGATAAAGGAGCAGCCTTCTTCCCCTCAGTGACTACCATCCCCAAACTTCACCTTATACCACATGGCACAACAGTCCCAAGCCCCTCCAATGACCTGTCACTCTGGCACCCATTTCCTAGTACTTACCTTCCCCACCCCCAACCCTTTAGGGAGGAGGGTCAGACCATCTTGTGTCTCATCTACTGCATTTGTACATAACACTAGACTCTCTCACCTTCCCAATTGTCTTTTCCTAGGGGAAGGGGGCCAAAATGTATAGTTATGGTTCTGCTAAAAAGTTCATATTAACCTTGTATATGTCAGAGGCCAAGCTTGGACCCAGGTCTTCCCAGTTCCAAGATAGCTACCTATCTACCACGTTCTTCTGCGGTTCATCTACATCAATACACACCACCATTATGATTTCTTTTTGTGTCAAATGACTTATTTTAAACATTCTGCCTTCCAGGAGCTCAAAAAAAGTCCTTTTCTAAGTGACAAAAAGAGTTCTCTACAATTCAAGAGAACAGATTCACAAACATCTCTGGAAGACTTGTTCACACTCTCTTTGCCAGTACCTGAATCTTGGGAGGAAGATGAAGACAAGAATCATGAGGAAGTGGACAGATTCTGTCTCCCCTGTATAACATTATTGATCTTAATTTTATCATTTATCATTTTTGTTATTATTCTTATGATGATGTATTTATATTAAACATGATACTATGCATCACACACCTGACCATCACCCCACCTCCCACAATCATTAGCTGGGTGGCAATGGGCAAGTCAATGAATCTACAACTCATTTTTATCATCTGTAAAATGGGCACAATGCTACCCATGGGTCTTCATTTATAGATACAATACGTCAAGCACTTTGCAAGCTTTCAAATGCTGAACTGAAAGGTCTTTGGTGCCATTTTAGGCTATTAAAATTTAATTAGCTCAAAACTGCATTGAGGTTTTTGGGTTACCATGCATAAATGTCAGTTATTTTTATTATCATCAGCAAGTTGTACTGAAGGCTGCCCTTTCGACACAAGCTAGGATGATCTATGGGGCAGCTAGGTGGTGCAATGGATAGAGCTCTGGGCCAGATGTCTGGAAGATTCATCTTCTTAAGTTCAAATCTAACCTCAGACACTTACTAGCTATGTGATCTTGGGCAAGTCACTTAACCCTGTTTGCCCCAGTTTCCTCATCTGTAAAATAAGCTGGAGAAGGAAATGGCAAACCACTCTAGTGTCTTTGCCATGACCCCCAATGATCATGGGGGATCGTGAAGAGTCAGACATGACTAGAACAACTGAACAAAAACAGGATGACCTATATGGGGTAAGAAATCATGTGACAGTGGTTGCAATAAGTACCCCTTCCACTAGCTCACCTACTCAGCCTGTCTCTGGCCACAGAGGGATGTATTCTCCAGTGGTGATCAATCCAGTAGCATCAGACAGTAGGGACAGGGATAAAGATTGGATCTGTGATTTCATTGGTAAAGAAACTCTCAGGAAAGAAATTTATTCTAGCAATATAGCACCTCCTCTTCAACTTGTCATCTTAGAGAACTGTCTTGGCCATTGAGAGTTTAAGCGACTTGCCCCAATGTCACATAATTGGTACATGTCACAGCTAGGACTCAAACCCGGGTTGCCCCAGCTCCAAGGCCAGCTTTCTATCCACTACCATCAGACAGTAGAAAAGTAATAATGAGAGACCACATTTAAAGAAGACAAAGTTAATGGAGCAAAAATTATTCATCTTCAAAGTATTAAAAACCACACACATACAGCGACACACATATTTTACAGATGATGAAACTGGTTCAGAGCTTCAGTGACAATATGCACGGTCACACAAATAATAAACATTCAAACACTGCTAACTTATTACCTGGGTGGCCTTGGGTAAGTCTCTCAGCCCTATAGGACTCAGACCTAACACGTGTTAGTTAGAAAGAAGTAAACTTCAAGTTCCCTTCTAGACAGCTAGGTGGTTCAATAGATAGAGTGCTAGGGCTAGAGTCAGGAAGACCAGAGTTCAAATCTGACTTCATACACTTATTAGCTATGGTACCTTCAGCAAGTCACTTAATCTCTGCCTTGTTTTCCTCAGTTGTAAAATGGGGACAGAAATACCATGGTTGCTGTGAGGATCAAATGAGATAATATTTGTAAAGCACTTAGCATGGTACCTGGCACATGGTGCCATATAAATGCTTGTTCTCTATGCTATATATATATATATATATATATATATATATATATATATATATATATATATCTCTGGCCTTGACCTCTCCTAGATCTAAGTCTAGTTCTCAATTGCCAGTGCCTGATAAACACCTCTACCTAAATGTACCACTAATATGTCAAATTCACTATATCCAAAAATAAATTCAACATATCCACCACTTCCTCTATTCTGCCTGAATCATATTCTTTGCCTGACTTTCCTATATTTGTTAATGGCACCACCATTTTCCCACTCACTTGGGTTCAAACCTCAGAGCGTTCTTGGATTTCTTTCTCCCATTTCTTGCTACTCACACCCGATAAGCTACCACGGACTCCATCTCAGATACCAAAATGTTTCTGTAATTTCATTCTTCCTTTTCGTTCTCACTATTCGCATCCTAGATCTGGTCTTGTTATCTTTCACATGAACCGACATAATACTTTTCCACTGGGAACATCAATAGAAATCACTTACAGACCTAGATTGGTCACGTCTGTGTAAAAAGGCGACAAGAATGTGACTGAGTACGGACACAGCAGGAATGATGCCCTTTTCCTCTGGATTTGATTTGCCTCTATATTTTACCTTTACAGTTCATCTATATGGATGAACGGGAAAGATTCCGGATTTAAATTTGGGAAGCCCCAAACTCCCAGACAAATAAAAATTAACCTGGATTATAGCCTACCCTTCAGAGATGAAAATTGTAGAAATATACTAGACAGTTGTTGAAAGTGATGGTGAGGTCTTTGACTGAGTGGCTCCAACCCTCATACCGAGAAGAGAAGCCAAAAAAACAGAATAAACCAAAGGCCATTAGCTTGCTGGGATGACCCTGCTCTTTGTTCTAAAAAGCTTGGTGAATAGAGCTGAAAATCTCCCCCTGGAGAAATGAAACCTCTGAGCCCATACTCCAGCAGCATTCAAGGCAGTAGCGTCCTGCATTTCAGTATCACCTAGGAAGATTATGAGGGAGCAAACTCATCCAGCAGAGACTTTTGAGAACAGTGTTGGTGGGGTCAGCAAAATG